TATTACAGTCATGCTTTGGCTCTGTTGTATATCCGGTGTGTGTATCCAAGCACAGACAGTAAAGTCTTTAACCCACTTCTTATCCATGATATCGTGTTTCACATAGCTCATCTGTTGAGTTTTCCTGAATACAAGCTCAAAGTCATAGTCATCTTGACTTTGGGGTTGTCCACTACCTCCCTCAGGACTCGCGTTAGTTGCTACAAAGTGGAAAACATGCACAACTGTTACAATAAAAGCCCATAAAATTAGAAAGTTTTTGGCCACTCTTTGTCACTCAGCTTATTTTCAGCAATCATTTCAGAAGATTTGATTTCGCTTAGATTATACAAAAATTTAGTAAAATAAATTGTGAATTGGTGATCTCGTATTCGTAGGTAGGTTTTTCTTTCCCCCCCTCCCTCGCCCGCTCCCCCCTGCACATTGCACACACGCTATTTATTTGGTACATTTGGCCCCAGACCTCGCGCTACGAAGGAAAGAACTTCAACGCAAACTAATAATGATAAGAGCTTTGCATTAGAAATTGGAAGTTAAGAAAGCTTCATATTATCAACATACTATTGGTTTTCACAATTTTGTAATGAATACGCTGCATTTGGCCACTCTAAAGCCATTATAATGAGTGACAGGTTGAGTACTGAGGATTCCTTTATAGTGGAAAGAGCGAGCAGAAAACATTAAGTCGACTATACTCACGGGTCGCGTTGTCGCCCGTACTCTGCTCCTCGGCTATTGATTCTGAGCAGTTTTTGCCTGTGAATGAATCCGTACAGTTGCATGTGTAGGTTTGTGCACTGGGTGCCTCTACACACGTTCCGCCGTTTGCACAAGGATTAGCGTTACAATCTGATGGATAAAACAAAAGTGTATCGTAAGTGGCGAAAACTTCTACATGTGAATCTTAAAGTGAGTCATTGTAAAGCAAGACGTAATTTTATAAATCGTTGTGATTGGTATATTTTTTTGTTTTCCTCGTCATAGTGATTAGTATTTGTTTGTTTTCGTCGTCGTCATAGTGATTAGTATTTGTTTGTTTTCGTCGTCGTCATAGCGATCGTTATCTTTATCATTCTCCTTGTTGACATTGTCATCAGAATCGCCACCGTGACGTCACAAACCAAACAGTAAGACTTCAAAAAAATTACAAAGCATTATGGAGGAGAAAACTAGTAAGCGTCTTTCTAATCAAGCCCAAATAGAGCTACAATCTTCACATTTTCTCTCCTGGCCGCAACCTCTCTTACATGAGATGGAAAAATCATGGCAGTCATCAAACTTTGTACCCTAACATTTTAGTATGCATATTCTCTATACTTCTCTCTGTACATTTCCTGTGACATTGTTAAGGAGATTTGATTGAACGATCACGAACTTCTCAAATTGTTGATCAGCAGATCCTTTATTCTCATGTCCATAGAGTTTGATTTAAGGATAATTAACCTGTAAGGTGAAATAAGCTACTAGGCATTATAAGAGGTTACAATGTTAAGCGTGTAAAGACCAATGGTGTTCAGATGAATAATTTGGATATATCAACAAAGTTGAAGTGGTAAATTGGCCACCGTAACGATTACAAAAGCTGACGTTTCGAGCGTTTGCCCTTCGTCGGAGCGAATAGAGGAATTGTGGGTTGTGTGTGCTTTTGTGGTTACAGCTCTGTGTATTTTAAAAGGAGAATAAATCGGGCTTCAGGAAAAAGAGTTTAAGAAATATAATCTGCTTTTTCCGCAAACTAAGGCGAAAGAATACGTAGAAGGCAAAANGGCAGACAAGAGTTTTAAAAAGGTTTGTTGAAAAGGGGGGTGAGTATAGAAAATGAAAGAAATATTGAGGTAGAGAAGTTCAGTTTGAATGTTCTAGTAGCCTGTTTTCGAACTCAATTGAAAGTAAGCTATTTGTATTCGGGTACATTCAAATTAGAAGGATTTAGAACAACCTCTTTTTTTTTTCCTTTTCTCGGCGTCCTTAATACTTAATTGAGAGAGAAACATTTTTTTCCCTAGAAACGAGAATAGAATTTAGTGGTGGAAAAAATCCTATGGCAAACTCGCACATTTTTCCATTAGCTTTCTCGTAATTCGTCAAATTTTTTTTGCCCAACTGGCAATATGTGAATCAAAAAACCTTCTCGCTATTTTTTTTACAACATACTTTACATCTCCATTACTGCCGGTGTCTTGTTTTTTTTTACGTATATATGTCATCTTCTTTCCAACTAACAGCTTTTAAATTTTTTTTTTTTTTCTCTCTTTTTTTTTTTCCTGTTTATACTCACCATTTTTTTTGTGGTTCCAAACTCGGCTTCCTCACTTCGTTGAATGTGGTATTTTTTTTCGTAATGTACAAACTCCTTGTCAGTTTTTATGGCTGACTCTTTTTTTTCTCTTCGGTTCATTTTGTTTAAAAAGCAATTATCTTCTGTTTTTTTTTTTTTGTAATTAATGGACTTACAGTCGAATGTCGATAGACATTTTTTTACGCATTCGAACACTGAACTCGCTTTTTCCTCTTCGTGCTTTTTTTTTAGAAACGTATCTGAACAATAAAAATAAATAGAGGTGTCGACTTTTTTTATGAATATGCGTTAATTTGTACTCCAGAAAGATCTCGATAATTTTTTTTGACTTTCAAAGTTTTCTTTTAACTTAGACCCAGACTGACTTTTTTTTTAAGATCACGAAAGACAAGGAACCTATCGCATTTCAAATGAAATGTATCGCTGAATCCTCTTATACGTAATAAGTTCATTGTCGCAAGGTTTTTTTGCAGAGGGTGTTTTTAGGGGGGGATCACATAGTTTTCAGGGTTTTTTTAGAGGGGATCAGTCGTTTCTAATAGAATATAAAAGGGGGACTTTTTTTAACTAACTGCCGGCGAAGGAGGATCACTAGACTACTGCAGATTTTTTTGGGGATCAGGTAAATTTTATTGTGACATAACAAAAATCCTCTTTTTTTCTCTCCCCCCCCCCGGCGGTAAACAATGACCAGTCTCTATTTTTTTTTAATCCATGACAACAGAGGCTGTTGAAGAGTTCCTGAGCGATTTTTTTTTAACGATCTTTCAAGGTCTTTTAACTCGCAAGAATGCCTAATTTTTTTTACGAATTTCGGAATTTTCTTCCACAAAATCAAATTTTGATTTTTTTTATTCCAAAGGAAAAATAGACTCAGGCGATTCTCCTAAAAACTTATTCTTTCCAAGAACTTTTTCGTCTGGTCTTCTTGTATCTCATCCTTGAAACTAACGTTAATTTTTCATACTAACACGGTATTAAAAAAAGCGCTTTTTTTTTCGCCGACTATATTACTGTAACTTTGTACTTTATAACCTATTTTTTTCCGAAATGAAAATTGGCACAGGATTCTGTATCGCCACTGACTTTTTTTGGAATGTGAAAATCGGAGCAAAAATTAGGCGTCTTCGACTCTTTTTTTTGTGGCTCTTGAAGGACAGAATTATTTAAAATCAGTTATTCATCTCCCACGTGATTCTGTTAATTCAAAATTTATCTCTATTCGCTTTGCTGCACTTATGTTCTGAATTTTGGTTCTCACGCACACTAGCTACTGGCTTTATTTTGATTCATAAAATGATATCGTGAAACCCTATCCAAAATAAATTTTAGATGATTCGAAACGAATGATTAGAAATAACTGAGGACAATCAACAGTTTATTGGCGCATCCACTTTAAAATAGCGCCCAAGAACTTGATCTTTTTTTTCAGATATAGTTCTCAAAGGGTGTAGTACAAATTTACAAATGTTTTTTTTAAACTGACCTGAGTGAAGATAGATTTCTATTTTTGCTCCATTTTTTTCGTTATCTCTGCCAAGTGAACCCAAGTTTGGTCAGTATTTGTTTTTTTCTTGCAGTCTTGTTTCGAGGACTAAAACTCAAGAACTTTTGGATGATAAACTGAAATGAATGACTTTCTCAAAAATTTCACGCAAATACTTTTTTTCACTTTGCAGAACTCTTTCTTGGCACAATTGCGACAGCCTTAGCATTATATATATAGCATATATCATTTACGCAACAACTTCAACATAATTTTTTTGAAACAAAAGCTAGAAGATAAGAGCACCTCAGGAATTCATTTTTTTTTTCAAGTAAATGGCACAAGGACAAAAACTGCAGCTGAATAAACAAATTCTTTTTCCCTTGTGATCATGATGTTACTATTTGTTTCAAAGGTTTTTTTTGTTGAACGCTTTTTTCTTCTTCCTAGAAATGGCGTTAAAATTTTTTTAATAAGCGTGTTTTTTTTTTTCGGGCAAAAATAACTACCTCTTTTTTTCATATATAGAAGGGTTGACATAAAAAAATCCGTAATAGTTATTTTTTTTATCACAATAGATTTGTAACCCATGCATGCAGCGCAAGATGAGAAACTGAATAAAGAAGACACTATCACGAAGACAGTAAGTGTTTCGTTTTTTTTAAAGCAGGGGGTAGGGTAGGGGCTAGGGGCGCTCGCAGTCAAAAAGTGGCTGGGGAGGGGGGCACAGCAGAATTTTTGTGATGTATAATGAGCATCCGATAACCGATTGTTGTAACATTTGAATTTTTCCACGACATTTTTTTTTTTTCACAACTCTTTTTATTGTTTTACAAGGGTCTTGTGGGTTTTTTTAATGTCGAGTTAGAAATGACGAAAAAAAATAACGTCTCTGAATTGGACGAAATAAGGATATCGACTATCTTAAGTTGTTTCTGTTCGGGTTTTTTTATAAGATCTTGTCTGTTCAAAGCTCTCTTCGCATTTCTTCGTTTTTTTATCGCTGGAAAATAGTATTGTCACAAACCCACCCTACCCTGGGAATAATTTCCCAAGCTAGCATTTGAGGGAACTGAGTTCTAGTCGGTTTTTTTTTAACTTTGAATAGTAGAAACTTGCACGAGAAAACAAAATTCAGTCAACTATTTCTGCTCAAAAATCTGTATAAAATGCCGGTTTTCACATTTTTTTGATTCAGCTGTCGTGCCATATTTCATGATAACTAAATTTTGTTTTTTTAATGTAATTTCCTTTCTCCATTCTTTCGAAATAGTGTCTGTTTTTTTTGGTCGAGAGAAGTTTGAGAACATCGAGGTGGACAGCGATGAGTCTCCGGAACTCTTCAAAGCTCAACTTTTTGCATTATCAGGAGTGGCGCCCGAAAGACAAAAAATCATGTTCAAGGGATCTGTTCTTAAGGTAAATTGATCACTCGACTCATACACAGAAAATTTACAGTGCATCGTCCTCGAAGCTATCAAAGGATTTTTCTAATCCTGTTCCTGTCTGGATTACCACGTTTTTTTTTCTTCCAATGACACATTGACCCTGGGTGTTATACGTAACTTTTTTTTTTTTCTTTGTATAATGCATGATGATAATTGATATTGAGTTTATTTTTTTTCCGTTTTGTCTTGTATCTACAGTGTCAAACCCGTTAGAATGGAAAACTGTATATTTAGCTTTAAAAGCCTACATTTAATTTCAATTTACATGTCGATACATGGTTTAACATTTAAGTTAAGTACTACTGTCCTTAAGCTGTAGATTAGAAATGGGATGCTCATCGTTTAGGTGTTTGTTCAGAGATCAGGAGTTAGAGAGATGGGATATGAAATCAAGAAATATTACGTATTTTAATTAGGACCGTCAATTCAAAACAAAAAAATGCTTAATTTGTGGCATTTTTTTTATCTTTCTCCTAAAGCCATTATCAAGACATTTTAAAACCTCTGAACCTCTTCGGCAAAACTTAACCCCTGTGATTATTTTTTTACAAATTTTTTTTACAAAATTACTAATTACTAATTACCAATTTATATAGCACATTTTTTTATGTGCTGATCAATACCGCTTAACATGTTGTTAAGGTTGAGTTTTTTTGTCAGCATATCAGGTGCCTCTGGCAGCCGCTACAGTCCATGTTTTTTTCTCACCTTCACCCACCCACTCCACCCTGGGGGAGGACATCCTTTTTTTAGTATTCTCGTGCATGGGAAATTAATGTCTCCTACCCCTAATTTTTTTGGAGACGGGACCTACGGTTTATTCGTCCTTATCCAAGAAGACTAGAATATCTATCCATTTCTTGATATTGTATAAGGTGGCAAATTCTCCTCAGTTATTTTAAGACCATGAGTATTGGTCCAGCCCGGGCTCAAACCTTTTTTTTCCGGCACGACACAAACGGGTGCTCTAACCAATTGAGCTAATTTTTTTTATCACATGACTCAATGTTAAGTTAAGTTTGTTCAGGCAGGTTTTTTTATTGCTAAACTAACCTGATAATGCGGAGGAGCTTCCAATGAGACCTTTAGAGTTTCAGGGTTATACTCATGTTTGAAAAAAATTTCTCTTTGAAATAGGATAAAGACTGGGGAAACTTCAAACTAAAAAGTGTAAGTAAATGATAGGTGGAGAATACTTAAAGCTAAACTGTATTTGTTAAGAAACCATTGGCTCGCACTTCCTGGTCAAATGCCATGTTACCGAGCAAGTGATTTTTTTAGGAGTTCTTAGACTCCCTGTGACTTTTAAGTTCCAGCTGATTTTTTTGTTTTGTTAACCTCTTAAACCCTGATAGTGACGAGCATCTAATTTCTCCTTACAGTCGTGGTGCTTAATCATTCATTAAGATCATGAGAATTAAAACAAGGATCACCAACCTAAGAAGCTTTGATTGTATGGGAAAATTCATTACTTGATGAGGGAATTCCACATTAAATTGCACACGAAAACCGATAACGCACGAATCGCAAAGCGATGAGTGCAATATTGGTTTTCAAGAGCAATTTAAAGCGGAATTCACAGGTGAAGTAATAGATTTACCTTGAATCCCATAACTGAATAAAAATGAGAAAAGAAAGGAAAAAGGATTACTTAAATTTTTTTTGTTTACTTAGATGTGAAACAATATCACTTGGCGTCGTTTTTTTTTTTCAATTTCATGCTAAATACCTGGCTTTGTTAACCAATCAGAATTTTTTTTTTTATTCAATGATGCAATTCTTAAATAAATTCTCCTTTTCTTTTTTTAATATTTTTTATGTATAGAGAAGAATAAAGAGGATATCGATTTTTTTTTTCAGATGTGAAGGGTTATTTGAAACCTTTTTTCTGGTTTCTTTTTTTTATTGTCCTTATAAAATATATTCTTGCTTTTGTTTAGGGAATTACTTTGCTTATGATGGGATCTGTTGGAGAACTGCCACAAGCTCCTGCGGAAAAGACTGTTTTTGTGGAAGACATGACAGAGGCACAGCTGGCATCAGCCGTAAGAGTGGATTCTAAATTTTGATTTTTGTCTCCAATTGTTTTTTTTTTCTTACTATACTTTATAATTAATCTAGAACTATTTGTTGTAGTCTCATATTTTAGCTATCCCTTTCCTTAGTATGAAATGCCTACTGGACTACAAAACCTTGGTAACACATGTTACATGAATGCCACTGTGCAGTGCCTCCGTAATGTTCCTGAGCTGAAGGATGCGCTTGCAAAGTAAGTCTTCTTAAGAAATTATGTTAGGTGAAACAAAGTCATCTCTTACAGATGATTAAGTGTTCTGGGTCCCATTTCTTGAACATCCCAGGCATCATCTGACCTGTAAAGTTGTTCTGGTTTCACTCAACATGAGGGTTTAAAAAGTTTTGACAATTCTGTAATAAAAGTTTCAGCTAAAGGAACGAAATGGAGTAGTCAGAGAGCCAGAACCTGTTCCTTTGTTCTTTAAATTCTGATTTTAGAATGTATTTTTTTATGCTTTAATTTACCAGGATTTTCAAGAAACAAGCTCCAGGTTTTTTTAGTTACCCTTGCCTGGTGATATAGATTTCCTTGTTACCTTTACCCTTTAATCCCTAAGGGTTGCTAGCATTTCTTTCTCCTCGCACTATCACTGGTGAATCACCCATAAAGGTCATGAGAATAAAGAAAATGATCACCAACTAAAGGAGCTTGTGATTGTCAATCAAATTCTCCTTATAGATACCATGGGAAATGTATAAAGAGCAGTAAAGTGAATATTCACTTTGATATGAGGGTGTATAGAGTTAAAGCAGAAGCAAATGAAGTGGATTTAGGCGTTCTTTTTTTGATCTGGGGGCGTAATCTCTTGAACCTTGTGAGATAGTGCATTTTTTTCTTGAAAAGTCCTTAACGTGGTTGATGCAAACTTAAATGGTGTTGAAGTGTAATTATAGATTTTTACCCTTTGAAAGAAAACTATGAAATGTTGAACATCGTAGAACAGATCACATTAAAATCATTCAGTTTAATCATTTTTTTACCATGAGGAGAATCTATTTCTTTTTCTTTATCTACATTTGTTTTTTTCCCTTAAAAGGTTGTGAACACATATTTACAGTTTGTTTCTGTTTTTTTGGTGAATTCTTGTCATGATTTTCTACCAGATACAATAGCTTTTTTTTTCCAACCGATTCCGCACATTCCATTACAGTGGCACTCAGAGATCTTTACAAGATCATGGATAAAACACCAGATTCTCTGCCGCCAATTATATTTCTACAGGTTTGACTTCCTTCATCTTGACATTGAACTTGAAAAAAAAAGAATTACCACATTTTCACTTCTGTATTTTCTTTGAAAGCTTAAAGTTTTTTTCCTCTAAGAGTGACTAACATCTAATTTCTCCCTACATTATCACCCTTGAATTACACAGTAAGGTCACAAGAATAAAGGAAATGATCACTAACTCAGGAAGCTCTTGATTGTTACACAAATTCTCCTTGTCACCACCTTAAGAAACATGTAAAGAACAGTAAGGAGAATATGCAAACTGATGTCAGTTTTTTTAGGGTTAAGAAATACATAGTTAGATTTTATGAGGCCTGGCATACAGCCTGTGCTCTAACTGCTAAATAATGTGGCAGGAAATCTTACTATTTTTTTTAAACTTTATGACTTCAAGGCTGTGTTCTAAGGAAAATTGATTTTTTTCCAGTCTTCTGAAACTTTGAAATCCAGGGTGCACAGCATATGCTTTGTATGAAAAAACTAAAATTCCTGAGTTACCCAAGAGCAAAAGTAAGGAGTCAGGGGCCACTGGGCACTGCTAGACCACAGCCTTGGACTTCTTTTTTTGCTAACCAATTTTTTTTTTTCCAGATACTGCACAGTGTGTTTTTTTTTTTTGCAGAGAAAACAGAACAAGGAATATACATGCAACAGGTTTTTTTTTACTGCTTGTTGTTGTTGTTGTTGTTCTTTTTTTAACCCTTTTTTTTTCAGACGTGATGAAATTGAGTTTCCCTTATCAGGTATATTCTGATCTTTTGGGACTAGCTACGAAGCATTTTTGACCTTTTCATTCTCAAGAGTGACCTAGAAGAAATTGCCCTTCATTGTAAGCAGAAGGGCGATGAGAAGAATGAAGAATAATTTATCAACTAAGGAATTTTGATTAAACGCAAAACTCTCAGCGCTGAAAATTTAGAATTGTTTAGCTGACAGTGGGGAGATTTTTTTTTTGGGTATTGGGAGTGAAAGGGTTTCAAGAGTTCAGATTATTTTTTTAGGGTAATTCAGAGCTAAAGAAGTGTGCGAGATGTGATGGCCTGATGGTTAGCATGGTTGTAGCTAAGAAATTACACTGCCGTCTGAAGTTTTTTTTGAGGTGGCTCAAAGGTGGTGAAGGATTGCATGTGTGTAACTTTTTTTGTGTCCGTTGTGCTTAAACAAGGGATTGCCAGCTAAAAAATCCCACCAGCAATCACTGCTCTTTCATCCAGCAAATTTTGCCGGTAGCTGGTGCTGAGCGTCAGCCCTGGGTGTTACCCAGTGCAGTGTACTCAGGTCAATGGGTTCTGGTAAATTGTCAGGGAATCCTGATGAATTGCTGGAGTGGCATCCCATTTTGGGCGGAGGGGTTAGTAATACTCTTGCTATCTTAATTTTTTTGGAAACTTGGATGAGTTCCCACCTGGGTAGACCACTTGGCTTTTTTTTGGACTTTACTTTACTTACTTGGAATGTTAGGTTCACCATGTTTTTTTTTTCTCCTTTTTTCCTTTGCTACTCAGATAAGTTTTTATGGTTGGTTAGAGCAATTTTCAAGTAAGATCTAGAGTTCGTGGGGTTGTTACTAAATGCCAGTTGCTAGCAAAATGCACAGGATGAAAAGGCAGCAATGGCAGGCTGGATTTTTGGCCAGGGATCACTTGATTAAGCACAACAGGCACTTTTTTTGTTACACACTTACAATCATTCACCACCTTTGCGCCACCTTATTTTTTTTTTCAGCGGGCAGCATAATTTCTTAACTACACCCCTGAGTTTGTCTATGAAACATTTTTTAGGATGCAAATGAATGCTGGACACAAATAATTCGCATGCTACAGCAGAAGATACCAGCCATCAAACCCGATGAAAATTTTTTTTACTCTGGAGCTGGTGCAGCTGCAGCAAAAGGATTTATTGATTTTTTTTTTGGTGAGAGAAGCGTTCAGGACAGGTTTTGTATTATGGATTTTTTTTTAGATTCCTGTACAAATGACCTAGAGTCAATATGTTCTCAATTTTTTTACTGAGGTCTTATATTAGCTTAGATTTTTAAAAACAGTTCAAGCCTTGTCAAATTTATTTCCTAGGCTCACAATTAGGAGTGGTTAATATTTTTTTTTGGGAAAAAAACTGCACTGTAACTAAGTTAATCAACATCCTTTTTTTAGTACCAATAGCTATAAAATGCCCAAAAGTCACACTTTAGTTTTTTTTCTATTACCCAAGATTCTTGATTTAATGCAGCTTATCAGAAAGTGACCAGAACATTTTCATCTTCAATTTATTGTGATACTATGATGACATATTGACCCCAATGTTTGGCATTTTTCCTTCAGGCATTGAGTCAGAGTTTTTTTTTCCTTTGAACTGTGTTAATGTTATTTAAATCATTCTTTGGGGGTCACTGACAAAGGATTTCACTGTAATTGTTCTTCAGCATTGTCAATGAATGTTAACCCTTAACCCCGTTGAGTGACTAGCATCTAATTTCTCCTTTTTTTTTCACCCCCGAATCACACACACGAAGGTTGTGAGAATAGCTGTTTTTTTCACTAACTAAAGAAGCTCTTGATTGTTATACAAACTCTCCTTTTTTTTACCTAAGGAAATGTATAGAGAACAGTAAGGAGAATATGCATTTTTTTTTTAGGGTGTAAAGGGTTTATGGAAACTTTTACACAGCATTTTTTTTTTACTGTGGTGTAGTATGAAGTGTAATGAAGCACCGGAGGAGCTTTTTTTAAAGTCCAAGGAAACACTGTTTCAGTTGAGTTGTTTCATTTCACAAGGTGGGTGATGATTTAACCAGAAAAAAGTGACACCCTTGGTTTTTTTTTTACTAACCCTGTAACCGTCAAGATCTGAGTTTTTGTTCTCTCCTCCAACTGCTACACATTAACTTGTAAATTAGCTGGGAGAATTTGGTATAAGATCAAGATAATAACCTCTACCTGATATGTTTGAGTATTCTCATTTTTTTTTTGCTGAATAATGTATGGATAAAAATAGAGAGAAGACATATCTTTTTTTTCATTTCTGGGAATTAAATGGCTAAACAAGCTGACAAAGGATTTTTTTTTGAAACGTCAGCTTTGAAACTCTTTATGGTGGTCAATTTATTTTTTTAACTTGGTTGATAAAACCAAAATTACCCTGCTATACTCTCCTTTTTTTGCAGCACCACAGTTTCTTTAGAAACTTACCCACTTTGTTTTTTTTTTTGCAGGGCTTGATTGTAATGTGAATGTCCAAGTCTTTATAAATTTTTTTGTTTTCAAATTACAAGTTTGCATGGAATCTCTGAAGATGATTTGTGTTTAAGGTGGAGAAACAAATTGAAGTAAATTAGAAGAAATAGGCAGAGGATTCTACTTAGATCCAGATTTTGAACCACGTTAATAATTGGATTTTTTTAAAAAACATTTATGCAATTTGTGATTGCTTTTGCATTTATCTTTTTTTATTCTTGTCATACTTCAAATTTAGTTTGAACTTATTTTTTCTTTTTTTCTAGATGTGAAATACATGCATACGGGTTTAAAAAGTGTAGGTGAATTTCTTTGTTTTACTTTACTTGAAGTCTTAAAATAAATTATGGATTTTTTTAGGACGGTAACTTCCTGTAAAAAGTACTTCAATTGTTGTGTTTTTTTTTTGTTGATTTTACATCACAACTGAGTGTTCTAAAGTCTTCTTTTTTTTAATTTTTTTTCCCATGGCATAGCGTCTTGAAGAAACTATTGAAAAACGTTCACCAACACTTGGTCGTGATGCAGTGTACACAAAAACCGTTTTTTTGTCAATTGTTATTTTCTTTCTCCTGATTGTTTCCTAGTTTTTTTTTTTATTTTCAGTGCGTAGAATATCAAAAAATGTTTCCGACAAATTTTTTTTCAGTATGACGTTAAAAGGGGCAATTACTTCTCTTGATCAATGGTGGATGTGAACAGCTCATTCCTTTACAATTTGTCAAACATTTACTCTTCATTTCTTTTCAGTCGAAGTTGAGTCGACTCCCTGCGTACCTGACTGTCCAGTTTGTTAGGTTTTATTTCAAAGAGAAGGATGCAATTAATGCCTTTTTTTTCAAGGTGCAGTAAATTTTTGTTTGCACCTCTCGTGAACTCTTTTTTTCTCTCGCAAACTCTCCGAAACTCTCGCAAACTCTCGCAAACTTTTTTTAACTCTCGCAAACTCTCGCAAACTCTCGGAAACTCTCGCAATTTTTTTGAAACTCTCGCAAACTCTCGGAAACTCTCCGAAACTCTCGCTTTTTTTCGGAAACTCTCGCAAACTTTCCGCAGCCGTTAGTGTCTATCTTTTTTTATTGGTAGCTCTGTGCAACCCTAGACAATTTTCAAGTCTCACATTTTATACTTGTTTAGGTTACATTCTGTTCCGCCAGCGTTGAGATTCATTAGTTGTGAGCCATTCTTGTGAGTTATTTACACCCTGTTCATGCCATGACTGTGCACCTTTTGATATAATCTTAAAAAAGGATGTGAAGTTCCCAATGTCGCTTGACGTGTTTGAACTATGCACTGAAGAACTTCAACAAAAGTTGTTGCCAGTCCGAAAAAAGTTCAAAGAACTCGAGGACAAGAAAGTTGAAGAAGCTGCGGTAAGGCCAAGATGTTTACATCGTCTTAAACTAGTTTTTTTTTGTTTTTCTTTTTTTAAATCGGATGGTCGGTCAATCAGTCGTAAGGTAGACTTCTCAGTTTGTCGGTTGCCATTCTACAGGTCCATCATTTTTTTAGTAAGTCAGCCAGTCTGTGTGTCACTCAGTCACTCAATCATTTTTTTAATCAATCTGTTAGTAAGTTAGTCAGTCTTTCCGTTAGTCATTTTTTTCTGATAGTTTCGAAAGAAACTGTTTGGGGCTGCGTCGGTGGTTTTTTTGAAATAGTTTGGATATATCAACAAGTTGAAATGCTGACGTTTTTTTTTTTAGCCCTTCGTCGGAGGGAAGCCCTTCGTTAGCTTTTGTATTTTTTTCGGTGGCCAATTTTCCGTTAGTCAGTCAGTCAGTCAGTCAGTTTTTTTGTTTGTTAATGAGTCAGTCAGTCAGTCAGTCCGTCAGTTCGTTTTTTTGTCAGTCAGTCAGTGAGTGAGTCAGTGAGTGAGTCAGTTTGTTTTTTTGTCAGTCAGTCAGTCGGTCGGTCAGCCGGTGAGTCCGTCAGTTTTTTTGTTAGTCAATGAGACAGAAAAATGTGTATTCAGCTGGCCAGTTTTTTTATTGCTGGGTCATTTATCAATCGTTTCATTTTTTTTGTCCTTTTTTTTTTGCCACACTACTTTGACTCTATCTTCTTCATTTGATATACTTTTTTTATGTGATGTTTTTTTTTTTTTTTTTAGAATCGTAAAAAGGATTTTTTTCAACCGATGGATGTGGACAAGAAAACAAAACTGGAGCCATTTTCATTCCCTGATGGTCTGTTATGAACCTCAGTAATACGTTTTGCCTCACAGTAGAGACTAAGCCGCCAAAGAATCTCCCTTTAACACAACTAAACACTCCCTTTAACAAATGGTAAACACCACAGCGTACACTATTGAGTTATTTTTTTTCGCGGGAGGTTGCTATGCACGAAAGAAGCGTAAGAGTCGCTTTTTTTTATAGCCGAGAGCGACTCTAGCTTCCTGAGTGCTTAGCAAACTTTTTTTGTGCATCCATAACTCAATAGTGTACGCTGTGGTGTTCACCATTTTTTTTATAACATAACATTGATATATTGTAGCTAAAGAGTTCCTTTTTTTTTTCAAATCTTACGCGACCAGAAAAAACAAGCGCGCGCGGAAAATTTTTTTTTGCATTTGCTCACGTCAGCAGCGTACACCCATGGGCAAATTTTTTTTGCTAAATTGACCAATCAGAGCACGCGCTTTACTTTGGTTATTTTTTTTTTCTCACTGGTCCTTACTCATTTTCCATTACCAATAATAATTTTTTTTATTTCTACAGATTTCACTCAAAGCAAATTTCTTTTCCCTGATTTTTTTGGTTCAAACAACAGCGGTTATTACGAACTAACAGCAGTGCTGACTCACCAAGGGAGATCTTCTTCATCTGGACACTATCTGGCTTGGGTTTTTTTTAAAGGAGGTATCATAGCTCGTTACTTTTAATCTCTGTTTATAGCATCCATTCTTTACGTTCTTAATTACTTTTGGTTTATTTTTTACCTTTTTTTTTTTTGTCTACCCTTGAAAAGTATTATTATCAAGTGTAGTTTTTTTATCCGGCGTTATTTAAAGGAAACATTTCAAAAGATATCCCCAATTTTTTTTAAAGACAACTCGAAATTTCTTGACCATGAGGTTCTTGAACTCAATTCATTTGATGTTTGTTTATCATTGCAAACTATAATTGTTTGTAATTTTTTTTTCTCACATTAAGAAAGCACATAATGATTTGTCGGTCATGCTTTTTTTACTCGAGATCTTTTGATCTGAAGTTGCTTTAAGATTAAGTATTTTTTTTATGTTTAGGAATAAAACATTAAAAAAAAGAGCTTTTGTTTTTTTTTTCTCGTGTGAAAAACTATCACGACCCTTAAGACGTTTGTACTTTTTTTTATCTCAGGAGTTTTCCCTTATTCCCTCAGAGTGAATCGAATTTTTTTTCTCCTTGCAATATCACTGCTGAACCACTAATAAAGGTCATGTTTTTTTAGAAAATGATCCCCAACTGAAGGAGCTGTTAATTGTAAAACTTTTTTTTCTTGTCAGCACCATAGGAAATGTATAGAGAACAGTATGGAGAATATGCAGACTGATGTTAGGATATAAAAGGGTTAATAATCGTAGGATTTTTTTAAAAGAGAATTTCTCTTCTGTAGATGACTGGGTGAAGTGTGTTTTTTTTAACATGTCAAACGTCACAACTGAAGACATTATCAAACTGTTTTTTTTTGGTAAGACTTGAAACTATTTGCAATAAACAACGTTGGCCTTTTTTTTTCAAACTGTCTGGCGGTGGTAAGACTTGAAACTATTTGCAATTTTTTTCGTTGGCCTAATGTTATCAAACTGTCTGGCGGTGGTAAGACTTTTTTTTATTTGCAATAAACAACGTTGGCCTAATGTTATCAAACTGTTTTTTTTTGGTAAGACTTGAGCTGCTAATGGTAACTTCATATGTGGGTTTTTTTTCCAATAGATCATGAATACGAATCAATCAAAATACGTTATTAGTTTAAGTTAACATGTATTCTTAGATAGCTATAATGATTATTTGTTTCTTTTTTTTGGCACTGTGCCTACGTTTTGCTTTACCGACCACGTCAACTTGAAGTTGAAGATGACAACTGAAGATTGCCAACACAGAACAATGGAATGACGTCTGTAACTACAACAATTTATGTTCCATCTTGCGACAAAGCAAATGTTGGACTGGAATGTGAAAAGCTTAAAGCGTTTTGAATCAAAGTTCATTTTTTTGATCCTTAATTGCTTGGAAGTCTTCTTTGGATTGTCGTGTTTTTTGTTTGTTTGTTCGATTGTTTGTTTTCATACACTGGCTTGCTTTATTTTTTTTTGGACGACTTTTTATAACTCGATTTAGACGCCGAAAAATTCAAGAGCTTACCGCGCCCTTTAAAGCTGTGTACAACCACTGTGATTAATTTTTTTTAGTTAGACGTCGAACGTCTTCGACATCGGAAAAAGATAGCTTATGCATTGAGATCAGAAAACAGCCTAACCGTTCTAATTGCAGAGGCCGTTGTTAAGTGTTCTTGAATTAACGATATTGGGCCAGGCTGCTAAGCTTTTTTTAAGTTAGAAATCCTAAAGCGTTTTTTTTTTTTTCGCGGCCGTTTTTTTAAGTTAACGCTGTAAACAGCAGCTTGATAAGTAGATTCAAATTTTTTTCAATTACGTCCAAACACGTGAGTGAGTATCCAAAATCGGAATTTTTTTCGAGCAAACGGGTACGCACGCACGTACGTACGCACAAACGCACGCGCGCACCTACTTACGCACATACGTATTATTATTGTTATCAAGAATTTTTTTTGAAAGTCAACGGAAATTTCCTTAAATAACTAAGCTAGCCGCAAACCATTGCCAAGAAGATTCTAATCGACCAATGGGATAGCGCCTGTTTTTTTTAGTTTGATAATTGCAAGGTTTAGGGCCCCTATTAGATGAGCTTAAAATTTCACTCATGATATTGACAAGTTCCCCTCAGCTCAATGGGTTTTTTTTCTCACTGCACCATATTGCGGTCCGTGGTCAGGGTCCAAACCTTTTTTTGGGGAATCTTGTCATTTTTGTTTCTTTTCTGTTTTTCTCATTTTTTTTTTTTACCTTGCTGATAATAGATCTTTGATGTCCTCATATACAGTTACACATCCTTTATCGTCAAATTCATTGGATGGTTTTGCTCTGGTTTTTTTTTAGATTGAGGTGTTGCATCAGAACAAAAATTTACCATAGAGGTTTTGCACAGCAGCCATGTTGGATGGCAGGAACAATAGTTTATTTTATTTTTTTGAAAAAAATTTCTTTCTTATGCAAAATATTTTCATTGTTCCTTTTTTTCAACATGGCTCCTGTGCAAAACCTCTATATAATAAAAAAAATTTTTTTAGGTAATCATCAATGGAAGCAAATCTAAGTGGGCAGAGTTTTTTCTTACTGAGTTTATAATGAACCATTGTAAGGGAGATTCCTGTCTTTTTATGGCATTGCACCTGTGTTTCCAGACTTAATCTTAACAGTGTAGATTTTTTTAAACATGGGTTTAAAATTCAGCCTGAGCTATAGACTAGCTCTTTTTTTCTCAGTGGGTAGAGCATCTGACTGTACCATGTTGCGGTCCGTTTTTTTGGTTCAAACCGTGGCGCGGGGAATCCTGTTGTTTTTGTTTCTTTTTTTGTGTTTACTTATCATA